TCTGTTATTCAGATTTTGAAAGTGTTTCCTTTTTTTGAGCTAAAAAGATATTTATTGAGTGCATGGGATGCTTCAGCCACTCTGTTGGTACTGATAAAGCCCTCATGGACCTGATAGTCTATTATAACTTCTGCCCATAAATCCTAATTCTATAGATCAGCTCTAGTTTTGTATTTCAGAACTACAGAGAGTAAATAAAAAATGTAATCTCAATGCACATATACAAACAATGAGCAATTAGAAACCATGAAAGTTTCCATTCATTATAGCACCCAAAAATATAAAATAGCTAAAAAGATACTTAACAAGAAATTTGTAGGTCTAATATGAAGACAGCTATAAAAATTTACTGATGGCCATAAAATATGACTCAAACAAATGGAGAGACATAACATATTCCTGGGGGGAAGACTCAATGCTATAAAATGCCACTTCCCCTCAAATTAATATAGAAATTTCATGTATCCTCAGTCATAATCCCAAAATTATTCTCTGTTTGCAACCTAACAAAATTATTTTCAAATCCATCTAGAATAATAAATATATAAGTATAGCAAAGGAGCTTTTGAAAATAGGCAAGGAGGGTGAGAGATTGATCTACTAGATATTAAAGTAAACCATAAAGTTAAAATAGTTGAAACAGTGAAGATTGAAATCTCAGCAGAATAATAGAAAGCCCAATATATATAGACATATATTTACATACACACATAGACATTTAAACTCATAGGTAAAGGTTGATGGGTATTAAGATAAGCTTTCTGGGAAGAAAATCAAATCCCTACTATACCTCACACCACACATCAAAACAAATTCCAGTTGGTTTCCAATGCAAAAACAAAACCACACAACTTTTAAAAGGAAGTATACATTATCTTTAAGAAAGACTTGGGCTTTCTTAGGAGGTGATAAAATTACACAAAACTTGAAAATGTCTATACTAACCCCTTTCCTTTACCCAAACAAACAAAACATATTTAAAGGTACAAATACAAATTGAATAATATTTATAGCTTATATGACAAAGATTTTTGTTAATAAAGAGCAACTAAACTACAATGTGACAAAGATAAGCATCTCAACAGGTTATAAAACAAAGACTTTAAAATGGTAGTTCACCAAAGAAGAGATACAAAGAGCCAATGACATGTAATTAAAATTCTTTTCCTCAGTAAAAATATAATAAATGTAAACCAGAATAAACTAGAAATTGATTATGAAATTGACAGTGATTAATAAGATTGAGGGTAGTGTAGATGTGATTGAATGAGCTCTCTTTTACTTTGTAGGTGGGAGCACAAAGACATACAAATTTTCTAGAGGACAATTTGGACAAATTTCTCCAAAAACGTAAAATTTTAGCCTTCCTATTAACCAAGACATTTTATTTTTAGGCAGTTATATAAATAAAAATTCAAATATTTAGCTATAAGGATTATCATTGTAATAATAATAAATACTGTAAACAACCAAAAGATTGGTAGAATTATGGTAAGTTCATGTGATGCAGTATTTAATGTCATAAAAAATATTTGCTATAAATTGTTGAATGAAAAAAGTTACTTAAAAATAAGAAACATATACATATATGTATATGCATGAATATGTTCATGTATATATTTTTAATAAAGCATATATATGCATATTTATATATAAAATTAGATGGGCATAAATATTAAAAATTGTAATTAATAGGCAGTAAGAATATAAATGATTCTAATTTTATTTCCTTCTGTGAATCCACATTTTCTAAATTTTCTACAATGAATGTATATTACACCTTGGATGTAAGAAAAAATAAAATATATTTAAAAACACATGTGCTTTGTTTAAAGTAGCAGAAATCCTAATATGCTAAAAATAAAAAAAAATTATATATAAAGAAAAGGAGAAATCCTTTTTTCAAATGAAATCTTATGTGACAATGCAATTCATGAAACTAATAAAAGGGGTGAAGCAGGGGTCTCAGGCCTAGAGCCCTGCTCACTTAGTGGATGTCCTTGGGGGCCCAGTTTGAAGGGTCAGGGCTCAGGGAATTCTGCTGAGAAATCACTGCATATTAACACCATCTCTAGGACCTACATGAAGTGCTATTAGAGATCCCATACAAGGCTGTATGATTGCTGGCTACCTCTAGTTACTCATAAACTATTTAATAGTTCATTCCATTTTAGTTCACTGTATTCATTATTGTATATTCTTCTAGTATGCATTTTTCTAAAAAGTTTTCTAGATTTTTAGCTTTGCATCATACTGGTTTACCTGGAGATTAGAACTAAAAGGATTTTATTATTACATCAAAATGAACATAGAGAATTATGATTTGATATTACGCCCTCAGATTTTATTGAAGGTTGATATGAGAAATGACCACATAAAGAATAGATCTCAATCTTGCCTAAAATTCTTATTTAATACCTTGTCCATTCTGGTGTTCAAAGGCCCTTATATAAGGATGCATGTGATAAAGTCCCCTAACATTTTAGTGCCAGAAAAAAGTTTGCCCATTTTTCTAAATGAGTATGACTTCCTTTTATAATGCTGTATTATTCCTATACAACTCATCACGTTTCCCTTTTGGCTTTGACTGCCAGAAAGCTCAGAGCTGTATTTATTGCCAAACCATAGCAATTAACAGCTGCCTAATTTTGCAGAAAAACTCTATCCTAGAGCACTTGAGTGTTTACCCTCAACTAAATGGTCCCATGGTATGCATGGCTTACATTATGAGTTGTCTCAAATCCAATTTGAAAATAGGCAAAGATTAAATAATAAACAAACACATAAATAATTTGGACTAAGCAGGCTTGGTCTTTAGCAATAGAAAATGCTCACACCTAGAGTTTGGTTTATTTTGAATGCCTGTTAGGCACAGTGCCTAAATCTGGAACACTAGTGTTGAGTCAGTCTGCCCCTGGATACAGCCATGAACACTTGGCTCTTTCTGCTACTGAGATCCACACCCATATTCACTTGTCTCATGATACTGGCTCCTTGGAAGGTGGTCTGCCTGGCATTGCAATAAGGATATTTGGTAGAAAAGGGTAGTAAAAGAGCAAGGTGCAGATAAACTAGCAATTTATAGAGTTTCCCATGGACCATAACCTTTAAAGTAGTTAATAGAACAAGACTTGTTGAAATGGACCAGGAAATAGATAGTTTTCACACACAGTAATGAACAATTTCTAGGCAGTGGCATGTGTGTGTGTGTGTGTGTGTGTGTGTATATATATTTATTATAACACTCAACAGAAGATTAAAAAATATTAGATAAGTTAAGATACTTCTTTACCTTTCTGGAAGGTCAACAATTCTTATTGTTAACATTACTTAGATTATTTTATAAGTGATGTGCTGAATTCCTCTATAGAATATAAAGGAAGGGGAACCACATTTTTTTGAATGACTATGATATAAATGGTTTACCTATGTTATTTCATTTAAGGGACATGGTTATTTGTTTTTTTTCCTGGAATGCAGAAGCTCTTCAGCAACCTCCTCAGTCTCATGGCAATGCACTAACATAGCAGACTTTGTGTTGGAATGATTTGGATACAAGGTCCTGGTTGGAAGGGTGGAATCTGGCAATATAGTCTTGATTATAGTGGCACAAGAACTGGCAGGGTGGCTTTCTGTATCGGCAGCAGACACCCTGAAAGCTCATGGGGACAGCTTGGCCTGTATGGCTCTGCAGTAAGTTGAGCCAACTGGTTACAGCAATAGGTTATCATTACTAAAAGGATTCGCCATGGCATTCACAGGAGAGCCAAGACCAGCTAAGGGGCAATGGGGCCACACAGGCTCCTGGGATCCTAACTATCTTCCTTCCTATTCTTGGAGCTCTGCTTGATATTCCACCCATGGAATTTCATTCAAGGTAGAAAAGCTTGGTGCCCCAGAGCCGAGGGTCTGGAATTGGACTTCCTAGTTTTTAATCCCAGCTCCACCACCTACTGTTGGTTGAATAAACTGGGGATAGTCTTTTTACTTTGAATCTTTCTGTAAATTAATGAGATCATCCATGAAAGGCAGCTAGCCAGCACCTGGCTCATGGTATACCCTCAATACATGTCAAATTTTATTTTTATTTATTACTTAGATTTAAAGGATCACCTATTAAAATGCCAAGACCCTGGGAGGCATACCTGGTTACTAGTTAACACGTAAGGGGAGATTCTCACCAATTGAATGTCAGTTAAGATGTAGTGAGCAGAATGGGATCCAGGAATTGAAACCTGGGAGAAGCAAGGAACTAGGCCCGGGGAGAGAAATAGCTCTGGCATTTTTCTCAGAGCTGCAGTGATTCTTTTACATGGGAAAGCACCCATTCATTGCAGCTACCCAAGCGCAAATCCTGCTACTGCAGAAAGACAACCTCATTGCCAAATCCAGATCCCAGGATCCGTGGTTCTTGGGACGTTATGGACTGTCCCTCTATCAACTGTTCCACCTCAGAGGACTCTCTGTAAACTTGCTGTGGCAGGAGACATTAAACCGTAGTGTTAAGTGCCACCACATTTGCTATTTGTTTTCCTACCTTGCCATGGAGCATGCGCAAAGATCTTAAACACGGACGCATGTGGAGCTGTGCACAGCCTGGAGAGGCTGCTTGCATTGGAGCCTGCTGTTTACAGCCAAAGGAAGGCCACCACCCTTCTGTACAAAGCGGTCGTGTGTGTCCTTTCACGCTCCGAGTGGAGACTTCCATTTGTAAAGTCATCCATCACCACCATGCATCAGCCTTTTCCACACACTCCTGTCCAGCCGGGAGAGAAGAGGAAAGCATCTGGGAGACGTTCCATTAAGTTATTTTTGCACAAAATGGATGAATTATTATTTCTTCTCCTCAGGCTACCCAGGGGAGGCTGATTCTGACACAAACCATTCGCATCCACCGTTTCAGACAGACTTCATTTCGCCTCCTGCCAGGGCAGGGGGGCCGCCCCGCAGACACGCGGGTCGCAGGCGCCTCTGGCCGCGCGGGCGCGGGAAGCACTGACCTGTCAGGCCGGCGGCCTCGGCGGACAGGAAGGCACTCCACGAGAGGAGGAAGAACAGGCCTGTTTCCAGCATTGGGAATTCACACAGCTTGGTGAATTTGGTCAGGTGAGGAAGGCGCGTTAAGGGAAACAACAACCGGCTTCACAGCTGCATTTCTTTCTTAGCTGAGAAAAAAAATAAAATGATCTGGTGATGACCGTTTTCGAGTAAAAGAACTGACTTTCAGATCCTCAGATCCGACTGGAAGACTCTAACTCTGACTGGGACTTGCTGTGAAGGCCAGCGTGAGTTCCACGTTTCAGTAGGGGTTAAATATGCCTGCAAACATTCGAACCTGTGTTCAGATAAAAAAAAAAACAAAAGGTGTCTTCCTAAGAACGTAAAATCAGCCATCTGTGGGTACAGAACTTCTGGAATTTGGCCTTGGCCCCTGCAGTGTGCGCCTCGGGAGAGCGGTGGCAGGTATGGGGCAGGGGCCCAAGGGAAATGGGTGAAGATAGATGCTGCGTCAGTCGCAACGCAGGAGAGGGGAAAAATGAAGAAAAAAAAAAAAACCCGCCTGGAGGGAGAGAGGAAGGAGGAGAGGAGGGAGGAGAGAGGGAGGAGGAGAGGAGGCGAGGAGGAGGGGGAGGGAAGTGGAGGGGAAAGAGCGTGCTCTGTGGGGAGCAGAGCGTCTGTGGGCAGACTGCTTGGGACACTGTCCTCTCCTGCGCATGGAAATAGGGTCAGCAGCAGCAGTTATTCTCCCTGACAGGGAGGCTGCTCATGCCTCTTGGTGTAAGTAAAATGGAGGAGAAGGTGTATTATTTATAGGTCAGACAAGATGCCCTTCGGCAGGCAATGGTTTATTTTGACAAGGATGACACTTAGTCAATAGTCTATAAATTGCAAATAGAACAAAGGGATAGTGATTCAAGTTGGCAGAAAATGGATTATGGGGAGATGATTAGGAATATGTGATCAATGGGAAAGGGTTAGTTCCATTGCAGTTGTCTCCACAATAGGCAGAATTTGTCCTGACAAATAAGGAGATATGACCGTGTTACATGTGTATGCTTTTAGGACAAAATCAAAAGAAGATTCCACAAAAAGAGAGGTTTAGCAGTGGGGCAGGGAAGTAAAAGCATGACCTTTGGTTCTATTCTTATTCTTGACTCTGTCAGTCACTAGCTGTGTGATTTCTGAGCAGTATATTAACCTCTCTGAGCCTAATTTCTATCCTATATGAATTAAAGATGAGAGTAATACTTGTTCCCACAGTGTGGAGAGTGAAATGAGGTAAAGTATGTTAAAAACATTTTGTAAAGTCTCAGCACAAAGGCAGAATAACATCATGGCTTGAGGTGTGGCCTCTGGACGCTGACTCTGCCTACATTCAAATTCATAGTATTCACTGGGACCCATCTCTAGACCACCTTTGCCTTGGTTTTCCTCTCTGAAAATGGGAATGAAAATGCAACCCTTCTCAGTGGTATATAGGTTAAATATTCAGAACAGCGCCTGGTATGTACAAGTGATATGTAATTTTTATATTACTGAGATTTAAATTATTATTATTATTTTTTTTTAGAGATGGGGCATCACCATGTTGCCCAGGCTGGCCTCAAACTCCTGACCTCAGGGTGTCCTCCTGCCTCAGCCTCCCAAGTAGTTAGGATTACAGGCTCATGTTATCATGCCCAACTATGCTATTTTTTAAAATAAAACATCTTTCTTAGAAATAGAATTATAAGAATCTAGAAGAAATTTTTTATGTGTAATAAAAAACAAGTTGCCCTTAGAGCCTTTTTCAATTTTCCCTTTTGTCGCTTGGAGAGAAGGCTTTGTTTTAGTGGGGTTTGTTTTCAAGATTCCCTCTTCCAGTTTGTTTTAAGGGGAATGTTCAGGCCAGTGTGAATAGCAGAATATCGACTGGCTATAAGGCATCTTTTTCTTTCAATCTCCTCCAAAAAGCAGTTCAGTTCTGGGTCAACCTCCAAGTCCAGGGCCCAAGGACCTACAATCGATGGAGACTTGGCCTCAGAACGGATGAGGTATGGAGGTAAGGTGGAGGACACGACGGAACGTGCCTGTCTCCTGCACGGCCTGTGTTTGCAGAGCCTGCTATAGCCCAGTGCTGCAGGACTGAGGGTGTCACTGTTACGGAGCCTCCATCCCGTCTGTCTCTACATTCTTTCTTCCAGATCTGATCCAATCTCATGCCAGACTTCCAATCTCCACGAAGGTCTTTTCCTTCCCTATCAACCTGTTTACCTATGCTCCCACACCTTCCTCTTACTTCAGGCAGAGAAGAATTCTGCTTTCAGCTTCTCCACCTAGTGCAGGCTCTGGAACTGAAAAGCCTGGGTTTGAATCCTGGCCCTGAAATAGCCTTGTTGGAGGGCCTCAGCCAAGTTACTTAACCTTGATTGCCTGAGTTTCTTCAGCTGTAAAGTCAGGAGAATAACAGTATCTACCTTCCAGTGTTCTTGTAAAAGTTGTCTGAGATAATCCAAGCAAAATGCTTCAGGCAATGGGTGGTACATAGTAAAGTTTTCAATAAATGTTAGGTGATAGGATCATGTTTGTTGTTACTGACATAGGATCCAGGGTGAGCTACTTAATGTCACTGAGCCTCACTTTCCTCATGTGCAAAATGAGGATAACAACCTGTTTTACAGGCTTGCTTCAAATGAGGAGATGCACATAAAGTCCCTGGCACATGTGAGAGCTCACTCAATGTTCCTGTCATCATTACTATTACTCTAGTGTAAGCAACATGTGACCTCCATCACAATTCCATCTACTAATGAAGAGGCAACATAGAGTAGTGATTATGAGCTTGGTCTCTCTCCTGATTCTTTCTCCAGGTTTACTTACTGGCTGCATGGCCCTGAGCAATAGCTTACCCCCTCTAAGCTTCAGTGTCCAATAAAAATAGCATCTGGCAATAGGATCACTGTGAAGGTTAGATGAGGTAGGAGTCTGACATGTCATAAGTACTGGGTAGATCATTTTGTTGTGGTTGGAAACCTGACTTACCTTATTTCTGTCAATGCAGGTCCCTTCTATGAGGTTGCAGGATGAAACTTTGCAGTGGCCTTTGACCCTCTCCTCCTCTTTATCTCTAACAATCAACCAATCATTAAGTCCAAGAGATCGTTCCTGCTAAACATCAGTCTCCTCCCTGATGCCTCCTCTGCAGTTCATCACCATGGTTTCCTTTGATTCTAATCCCCTCCTCTGATTCGTCCTGTGTGCCAGTTCCTCATCTACATTTTGAAAAGAGGACCGTCAGTGTGTCGCTCTCCTCAGCAGACCCTTCAGCAGCTAATTGTGGACCACAGAAGGAGGCTCAGACTCTTTCAAATACCATCTCAAGATGCTCCACACGCTGACTCCTTCCCACTTGTGGCTCCTCATCCTCCATTTCTCAACAGCCAGAGCCCTCTGGTCCTCTCAGGCACAGCTGCTGGGTGCCAGGTCAGTCCCACCTCCACACCTTAATGAACACTGGTCTTCTCCTCCTGAATCACCTCCCGTACAGCTGCGCCCTGCCTATCTTCCAGGCCAAGCCCAAGGCCCATGCTGCATATTAATACTGCTCTTTAAATTATTTTCCAGAATCATAAGGTTGGCCAAGAGTCTATTAAAATGTTCCAGACATAATGGCCTTGTCCCCATTTAAATTTTTGTGGTTGCAATAACATGGATGTGGCTTTCACACTCATTTTCTGCCCAACTTGTAAGGTAGAGCTATCTTTCCAAGCTTGTCACTCACTGAGGGCAGGGACCTTGTTTTACTCATCTCCTGACTCTTCTTCAACACCCTCAGGAGAATCGAGCCCTTCAGCAGCTGCTCAGTGAATGTCTGGGCAGCCCCCAGGGGAAAAGGCCTCAATGCTTTGCCCTTTCTTTGCATGGGGCCCTGACTCCTCTGGCACACTCCTTCCTTCTCTTTCCCCTGAGGTCTTTGACCCTTGATCTTTCACTCTGCCTCTTCCCTATGGCTCCGCTGAGCCTTCACACTTGACATTGGCCCTCTGTCTTTCCTTCTCAACTCTGACATTTGCCCCGTCTGATGGTTCTGAGTGAACAGCCCACCAGACCAGCTTGTCTCCCTGGCTCAGATCCTCTAGAAACTAAACTCCCTAAAAAGAAGGGATCAAATGATGCAATTGCCCAGATATGGCAAACATGCCATTTCTGCACTGCTTGCAGGTTCCCTTCTATAGAGAGCTGGGAAGCTTGATTAAATCCACAGTGATCTCTTGGCTTGTCCTACTCTATGAGCCAGCAATTGAATAAGCTTAAGACGGAGTCAGGGCATACCCAGTGTATCGCCCCCAGTCAATCCTATCTTATTCTTGACACTGGGCCTTCATTTCTTTCTCTTGATCCTGGTTAGGCCAATCCTGAAGCCCTCTGTCCACTACTTTTCCAAGGTAGCATTTTTTTTTTAAGGCTGTTGATATCTAGGATTAGACAATGTCAATAGTGCTAGAACTGACCTTGGACAGGATAAGAGCCTGACCTCCTCTGCCACTGGAACCAGCCCATGCCTCTAGGGATGACTGAGGACCAAGGTGGTCTCAACGGTGCTATATGAAGCTTGAGCCACAGACTTTCCAGCCATTTACTGGTCTGAAGGTTGCCCATCCTCAGAAACATTCCACGGACATTGACTTCTCTTAACAGTCCTCAGTTTTCCACACACAAAGGATATCAGTGCTGTGATAACTGCGTATGCAGATCCCATTGCAAATGAGCCAGCAAAGATCCCCAGGAAATTCCCCACGGACTGGAAGAATGCTGCAGCATCAAACGCATTGGGATTCTCCTTGGGACTGTAAATGGATATAGAACTGAAAAGAGAAGAGGGAAAAGGTTAGTTAGTGACTTTCATCTTATAGCCCAGATAAGATTTTGCACCCACTTTTGGGAGAGGCACCTTTTCCTGTAAGGTTGGGGGCTAGTTGGAAGTGGGGGGCAGGGGGGTGCAGAAGAGAGGGAGAAGTGGAGAATGCAGAAAGCTTCCCCCTTCCTTATGCCCCCATCCCATGGGATCCGTATATTGCTGCCAGTCAGTAAACATTTTTATATTGGAAGTGTTATAAAGAATATTGTTTCTGAGCAAACTAGGCATTAAAACATGGTAGGTGTATACGGACTCTGCTGAGAAGACAGATAACTGTGAATTATTTAGTGGCCATATGTCTTCAGTGCTGTTATATATTCACAAATGTTCCTGATAAAAAGTGCACTTTTATGGCCCGTGCACAAATGGGTGATACAAATCACAGCGTGCACAAAATATTCTGCCATGATCTTGTCATAAACCACAAAGCATTCCTCCTCCCCAGTGTAACCCTTCAGAAACAGATCACCGATGGTGTTCAGAACATCACAGTATTAACCCCTGGGGAGAGACAGAACCCTCGTTTTTCCACTGAAACAAATAGCAGCAGCTGCCCGAGGTCGTCTTTTATACCCCAATTCTGGTGGCTGACAACAGATTTATTTCCATAGAGAAAAATCAATCCACCAATAGGCAGTCTGTTCACTTAAATATTTTTGAGGACGTGATATTTGCTATTTTTTTTTAAAACCAAGGCCTCATGTCCCACAGTGTTAATATGAAGGACAAGGCGTGTCCTATTTTAGGAAATATGAACTTCGTATGGTGGAATTAAAATGAACAGATGTGCTAGAACCACCAGCTTTAGGAAGACTAATGAAGTAACATTTCAGATTTTTTTTTAGGGGCGTGGGGAGCTGTTTTTATGTGAATACAAAGTTTTTAAAACTAATCAGGAAAAGTCAAGAGTTTGGCAGTGGGTTTTGGAAAGGACTAGCAGTGTAGAGAGTAAAAAGTACACACACTGACTGAGTACTAGATTGCATTTTACGGAGATGTAACTGCATCTTTTATGGTGCCGGTGATTAGGGCATGTTAACTCTCTGACCTGACTTTGTATCCAGGGACTAGTTAAGAGTGAGCAGGGGAACAGAGTCCAGTTCTCCTACAAGAAGATGTGTGGTGTAGAAAAGGTAGTTTTAAATGTTCTTAGTTTCCCCTGGATGTCTTTAAACCCCCAAAGTAGGCCAAACTCTTCTGCTTTGATCCTATAATTGGATAAGGAAGATGAATGTGGGTCTTGAATGGAGCCCTGTGAAATGTATGCGAGAAAAGGACTGCCTTTGAAGTGTTTTTCTTTTTGTAAAGTGTTGTGCTTTGCTGGGGAAAAAAGGAAAAGCAAACTCACATTTGGGTTTTTGTATTTGCCAGTCCTTAAAAAAAGATGTACAACCCCAAGGCCATTAGGAAACCTGGTGCCCAAGGCTGTGAAGCTTGATGTGTTTGTGTTGACATTCACCAGCGCATCTCTTCATTCCAATGAAGAGACAAGAGTGATGAGAAAACATTCCTGTTTGCATATTCTGCCTTTCGAACAAAGGTTTTTGCAGGGTGACACAGCTTTGGAAATAATTCTGTGAATGCCTGAGGCTGTGAATACCAGTAGATGTGACCCACAGAACAGGTGCCGCTTCATCTTACCTGCATCGCCCCACCCCTCTGGGGTGTTTTCCCTGTCCTGGTGCTTCTGGGACTTGTTTCTGTGATGCAGCACATCAACTTGTTAGGCTGGATCCTATCCCATTATTTATGTAATGTTTTTCTTTAGATCATTTTTATTCAAATTCAAAAACATTTATTAAAGAATATCTATGAAATCAAAAGTTTAATGTGCTAATTATATATTTCTTTTGAATGTAAGTGAGAATATGTAATTTGAAAAAACGTTCACCTATGTGTCCCCTAAAATCATCTGGGCATCCCCACTGATTTTCAGTCGGCACTTTGGGAAATGTCTACTTCTTGCCCACCCAACAGGAACTAAGAACATTTAAAACTACCTTTTCTATGCCACCCATCTTCCTGTAGGAGAATTGGCATCCACTGCACCTGCTCACTCTTAACTCTTAGCCAATTTGTTTGCTAAACTTCATACCCTTCCCTCTGATGTTCGACTTAACTGAAAGGAAAAGCTTAACTCCCTTTGACCTACGGAGATTGTCCGTGGAATTTGCTGGCCCTACAGCTCCCCAGGAATCACAGGCACAGGGGAGGGGGCCTGCCACGTGCCAGGCAATGCATTCTGTACAGGGTGTGGGAGGCAGTCAGAGAAGGTCACAGAGAAGGGAAGCGGAATTTGATTCAATAAACATTTTACTGAACACCCAATACATGCAAGGTATACCTAGGCAGAGAAGCCCGAGATGTAGATGCCAAATTGTTCTAGTCCCTGTACTGAGTATGATTTTGGGAGAGAAACGTAACATTTAATGGTACAAAAGAAGAAAGAGGCACTATTTTAGAGGAAAGGAGATGACATTTGGGCAACAGACAGTGATGGGGGAGGGTATTTCAGGCAGTGGAAAGAGTGTAAGCAAAGGTAACGAGGCAGGTGGGTTCAGGGCACACACAAGAAAGACTTAGCTGAGTGGTCATGGCTGGAACCCAGGGAGCACGTGTGTGGGCACACGTGGAGGGGTGAAGACAGGTGAGGTGGCATTACTCAGAGCCTTAAGTTCCATGCTGAGAAAACACAAAAGCCTTCATATTTACATAATATTTAGTTCTCTTGTGCCTACATTATAACTTTATTTGAAACTATAACATCTCTGGGAAGTAAACAGAGCAGGAATTGTTATCTCTCCTTTTCCTTCCCTCCCTCCCTTCCTCCTTTTCTCCCTTCCTTCCTCTCTTCCTTTCTATAAAATAAAGAACCTAAGGATCAGAGAAGTTAAGATCACACAGCTACTAAGTTCACAATGTAGATTTCTTGTTTCTCCCTTAAAAAAAGTGATTTTATGGGAGAGGGGAACCATGAGCCCACTTCAGGATAGTGGAGTGACAGTGTCACACTGACTGTAAGGACAATAGGAGCTCAGGTACCAGAACCTTTACTTTCATGCTGGGACAAGCACAGGCAGTGCATTCCTGTAGACAAGCCTAAGAGCAGTGTGTGGTGAACAGGGTGACTGCACCCTATTTCCTGTCCCACTAGCAGGACTCAGGGCTTCTCATAGAAACCTGCTTTCATGTCTGGATTTGCCAGTCCTGCCTGGGTCTTGCTTCTCTCTGCATGCGCAGAGCACAACCCAGTGCCTGGCACATGGGATGCTATATAAAGGCTGATGGAATGAAGGCAGGACAACTAGAAAGTAGAAAGGAAGAAAAGAAAGAAGGAAGGCGGCTTGCAAAGCTAGTCATCTTTTAAAATGAATTATCATCTGCAAGATCTTTTACTAGACATTGAGTATGTGTAGCCGAGTTGTGGGCACTTTTAGGGTTATCAATGCAATCTTGAAACTGACACTTGAGCCTCTTAACTTGAGCTTAAGATTTGACACTTATTGGCAATATGGCTTTGGGCAGATCACTTCCTCATGCTCAGACTCAGTTACATTGTCTGTGAAATGGAGATAATAATAGTGTTTATCCCCTAGAAGTGCTTTGAGGATATGACGTACATTTAAAACTCATGCAAGTATCTTGTGAATTGTAGAGTCATCCACCAAGTGCTTATTATGTGCACTCAAAACAAACACTCAATATTATTTATCCTTACCATCATAATCATTTTTCTGCTAAGAACTTCCACGAGCTTCACAATGGCAGGCAGCAGAGTGCCGTGGCTAAAGCAGGCTTCGGTTCCAACTAAGGCAGATGGGGTGTGGCTGCCTTCATGGCACAGCAAGCTTTGAGGGGGCTGGAGAGGAATTAGTCACTTTTGCAAGGGAACAGGAGGGTGTCTAGGAAGGAAAGGCACCAGGTAGCTACCCCAGAGAAGTGGCCAGAGGGGTATGGCTAAAAAGTTGTCATGTTTATCACGGAGCCCTTGGCTCGCTGGATCAAGGAGGGAAGGCGTGCCCTCAGCAGTGTGGGCAGAGGTGTGCCCTGGGGTCAAGAATAAGCCAGGAGCCTCAGCTTGAGGTGCTTTTTCCCGAGTTTAGTGTGGGATGTTCTGGGACAAAGCCCTCTGACTTCTGGGGAGGAAGGAGGCAAAGGAGGCAGAAGCCTACGGCCCAGGAGGTTGCATCTCTCTGGACTGCCAGGATTTCAGGATGTTGTTCTTCCAGGCTCTCACCCCTGAGAAGAGGCACCCCTCCAGACTCTGACTCTCAGTTGCAGTACTAACGAAACTAAGCCTCTGGATTTAGGAGCAACAGTTGCAGGGCAGAGGGTGGGGGTGGAAATAGCCAGGGGTTTGGGTGGCACATACGGAGTTTTCCAACTTCAACCCAAGGGAGGAATATCATTGCTCCACCAACTTCAGCCCTTTAGACTTCTCCCCTGTGCCAAGGGAGACGCTTGAACTGTTAATGGATGAAAATATGAGAGAGGGGAGAGGAGGGGGAAAGGAATTGGATTTTCTGTTAACCTATGTGGCAGTTGTTCTCTGGGATAACACTCTGAAGAGGTACTGTTTATAGTGCAAACTGGTAAAGATGGATCTACAAGCCTCAGATTTCTGGGAAAAAGTTGGATGGAACCAATATCCTTGAAAATGACATGACCAGAAATACACAGTGGTGTTTAAATATTCATCTCATAAATTGGAAATAAGTCCAGGATATTGATTCATTCTGTTCAGAAACAGATTATGCAGCAAAAATTAGTTTGATGACAGTGTATTGTATCCATACTTAGAAATAAATGTGTGCAGCATCTTTTATTCAAAAATTTTGAAATGGATGAACTATCCTAAATTCCTCTGATGAAAGCAATGTGAATACAGATCATCTTGCTTACTGTACCATTTAAGATTCATAGACTTATGATTGAGACTCCATTGTT